TACATGATCAGGTGTCTGTGTACATACCTTAAACCAGTGCAGCATCTTCCTCCACATGGACAGTGAGGGCACTAAGGCAAGAATATGACATTGCACATAGACTTTTCTGTTCAATCTTGCACATATTTTGCACCTCTGAGACTAACCCCATAAACTTGACCCATGTTATTGTCCCCATTGGACTGGAGCCCACCAAGCTACTCTATAGGGATTCTCCAGGCAAGAATGCTGGAGTGGGCTGCCATGCCCTCCTCCAGGGGATCTTCCTAACCTAGGGATTGAACCCAGGTCCCCCACATTGCAGGCAGGTTCTTAACTATCCCAGCTATCAGGAAAGCCTGTTATTGTCCTTATTCTTCCTAAAAAACAAAAAATATTTTGCTTTGTGAGTTTACAACTAAAGATAGTGGTAATATAACAGTATATTCAGATAATCAAAAATAATGGTCTTCCTAGTCCTACAGTTACCATAATATCTTCATTAACAAATCATTTGGAGAAGGAACTTTCTGAATTCCTGTCTACAGATGGCTAAATAAACTCTTTAACTTAGAAATTATAGCCATCCTTGATCAGAACCAGACTCTCCAGTTTTATCCTTAGTGTGTGTATGTGTGCTTAGTCGCTTCAGTCTTGTCTGACTCTTTGCAACCCAATGCGCTTTAGCCCACCAGGCTCCTCTGTCCATGGGCGTCTCCAGACAAGAATCCTGGAGTGGGCTGCCATGCCCTTGCCTCCAGGGGATCTGCCCAACCCAGGGATCGAACCCATGTCTCTTGTGTCTCCTGCATTGGCAGGCGGGATCTTTACCACTAGTGCCACCTGGGAAACCCTTTATCTTTAGTGGTCTCCCACTAAGGCATAAAACCTTCAGCAGTTGAAGTATTTGTGACTTTTCAAGGTCCAGTTGAGAAACTGCCATTTTCCTGAAGCTTTCCGTATCACCTCTCAAAAGAGGTGAACTCCTGTAAAGCAATTATCCTTCGATAAAAAATAATTAATTAAAAAAAAAGATGTGAACTCCTGATTATAATTCTTCACGGCACTTGACTTATCTCCACCTTAGTTGTGACTGGGATTGTTATATGTGCACCAGCCTCTTTTCCTTTTCCTCATATTCCACCTCATATTCAGTTAGATGCGTCCATATGAGGGGGCTCGGAGCAACAGAAAGTGGGCCAAAGGATATATGCCAATTTGAAGCTTGGTCCCAAAAGACCTGTCACATAATTCTCCATGCCTTTATCATTTTTCATCTGCTAGTATGATTCAGAGGATCTCAGTGGGTATCCAAGATTCTAGAATATGGAAAGTCACTGGGTGGAAGGACCTTTGGTATAAAATGTCTTAATAGAAACTGACAAACACTGGAAAATGATATGAGTGCAAAATGAGCTTCTATTATATCAAGCCACTGAGATTTCACGTTTACTTTTTACAGAAGTTACCTTATCCCGACCAATTTGCCATTGTGTTTATTTTACTTTAGTCATTTGTGGTATTTGTCATATGTTTTCTGTTTTCCACATCACCTGGAATGATGTATAGTAAAGATTAAGTATGTAGTTCATGATTTAAAAGCATCCTGAGACATTTGGAGCTTATGGGGCAAGTTCCATAGTCAGTATTAGAAGAGAAGTGCTAGGAGCTAGGAAGAGGTCAGACAAATCCTCTAGGGTGGAGGTGCTGGAAAGTGAGTACCCAGGCATGACTGACAGCACCCCTAAAACTTAATTCACAGCATCACCACTAGTATGTATAGCTGGATTTTACATCATAGTAGTCAGGAGCCTTCTTGAATGCGAAAGCCTTGCAGGAAACCAAGAGGGCCCAGAATCTGAAGGTTTCCTCTTCTTATCAGGATACAACAGAGAGGAAATCCATGTCAAAAATATATCCCTATGAGCACAACTTTGGAGCCTCAGGTGACCTTTGAGCTTGGCAATCACTGAAGTCCATATTTTATGGCTAAGTTGACACTCAGAGAAAGAAATGGCTTTCCCAAAGTTCCTGATCAGATACCGGAACCTTCTCTATTAGAGATAGCTTTATTTATCTTGTTTACAAAATAAAGCAATTTTTAAAGTAACTTTTTCAAACAACAGCTATTAAATTCACCCCCCCTTCACCTCCATTTCATAGCGAAACCAAAATGAAACATGTTTGATAGAAGAGTATCTTTTGTGTTGGAGAATTTTAAAGAGGAAGACTGCTTGTCCAACCTTGAATTTATAGAATTCTAAAAGACCTGCCCCTCTATTGGCCCAGGTTAATGCTGCTTAAATACAGCCCCTTGAATACTGAAATGATTTAGGAGAAGAGGTACTTTATGAAATTGTATGCACAAAAACATTCAGTCTGAAACACTGCCAGAATCCACAGGTTCATATATGGCTTCATATATACCCTACTACTGCTCTCACTGAACCAGTTTACTCTCTATCTTCACTGTTCCCTGTTCTGATGCTTCCAAACTCTAACACATGCTACTTCACCTTCCATCGCAACTAGGGCATCAATACTTCCCACCTGTAGCCTCCACATTCTACTCACTCCCATCCCACTCTTGCTCTCATTTTCCCAAACCATCATCGACCACCCAACCCCACTTCATAGAATAAAGGAAAGAGGACTAAAACCAAGTGCTCGTGTTTGCTTTGGAGGCTTCTCCAAGAGGCCCGTTATTTGATAATTATCTGTTCATGTATCTGCCACCAAAACAGATGCTGAGCTCAGCCACAGGATCAAAGACAAAACAGATATGTAATCAGCATGCATTCTTCCAACACATGTGTACAGAACACTTAAACATTCTGTCATCTAGTCACTCCAACAACACTTCAAAGGAGGCACTAATATTATCTTCATTTCACAAAACACTTGTTTAAAACCAGTGATAAGAGGCAGTGCCATGATTCTACCCAGATTGGGGCTACCTCAAATGTTGTCAATGGACTCCCTAGTCCATTTGTATCGTTTCCCCCACCTCTTCTTCCTATAAACTATCCCTTTTCTCACTTCTGCAGATACTCTTATTTACTGTCTTCTTTCACTCCCTCAGACTCAGTGGTTAAAACGGAAAATTGGGTTTTTCAATCTGCTGGTATCATTTCTAAAACACTAATTTGCCATCTTATTTTTGATTCCTGTTATTTGAAGTTTAGCTGTAAAATTAACTATGCTGTTGTCTTTCACTTCTCCCAGCTCAAAGACAATATGATTTTAGCATCTGGTTATGCTTTTTCTCATAGCCCCAAAATGATGCCCCAAAATAACACTTCAGGTTCCTCATACTCAGTCTTCAGACTTTTTGCCTTGATAGAAATACATGCCCATTCCTTTTCATCTAGTGAAGAACTTGGTCTCACCTTGGATCACATCAACACAGGGACAATTCCAATTTAGAGATCTCATAACTCCTACTGTCTCTCAAATTACATTGCATGTACCAAAACTGTATCTTCCAACACTATTGTTTAGCTATTTCCTTTTCATACTCTCTTGGCTTCTAAAAGTCGAATGTCACTTCATTTTCCTCTGTGCCTTCATTTGTCATGGGATTGAGGACTCTGAAACTATAAATCAAGCAATATTAAACACACTGGAGGGGATATATGCAAGGGTTGGAGGTAAATCTAGCCTTAGTGTGAATACTTATTCTCTGAAGCTTTAAGGTGTTCAAGTATTGGTGGTCTCGCAACGGCACCCCACTCCAGTACTCTTGCCTGGAAAATCCCATGGACGGAGGAGCCTGGTAGGCTGCAGTCCATGGGGTCGCGAAGAGTCAGACATGATTGAGCGTCTTCACTTTCGCTTTTCACTTTTATGCATTGGAGAAGGAAATGGCAACCCACTCCAGTGTTCTTGCCTGGAGAATCCCAGGGATGGGGTCGCACAGAGTCGGACACGACTGAAGGGACTTAGCAGGAGCAGCAGTAACAAGCTAGAAGAGGAGACGCCCTAATCTCTGAATCTATAATAGCGAGGCACCCGTAGGGGGCGCTCCGTCTCACAAAATATAAGTGACAGGAGCTTGCCTAAGGGATGGGATCTCTTAAGGGGTGTGGCCTCACAGGAGAACCTCAGCTCACAGGACCAAGTTTGGGTCAGAAACAGGTCACAAAAACCTATTTAGAGGAGCCGTGGAAGAATGTCTGCTAGGAGCCTAAGCCAGCCGGGGTATCCAAAGAGGTGAGCAACAGGCACTGGCCAGTTTGCTTTCTCCGTGGCATGCCCTCAGCTGACTGCACAAGTGGATGGAGCCTGCAGACTTGCCCTGCTAAGGGTTCCTTGTGGCACTCTGGATAGCATTAGACTGAGCTGACTTCTAGCCAAAGCCTGCTGTGTACCCCTTTCTGCTGAGCAAAAGTTACCAAGGTCAGCTACAATCCAGGCCTTAGCGGGACCCAGTGTCAGGCAATTAAAGATGCAGTTTAGTCCAGGAGAGGGGTAATGATGTGATAGGAGTCGGGTTCAGAGCAGAAAAAAGATCGTACATCATGTCCAGTGGAATCGGCGTATAAAACAGACTTTCACGTGCGGGGTCCAGACAGCACCCGTGACCCTCTTATCCCCATAGCAGTGACCGCAATTCCCTCAAGTGAAGATCCTCTCAACTCACACACCAAGTCTGCTTTACTCTTCCCCTCGACCTTTGTCATCAGCTGATGAAAGGCTATTTGTTTTTCCAGCGCTGGATTAGGGAAGAGAAATTACACAAGGGGACAGACATCAAATATATATTTAAAATTCTGCAGCTCTGGGTGATCAGCCACAGTTCAGGGGAAATGAGCAATGTTGCTTCCAGTCTGGGGAAGCCAGGAGTCTCAGATGCGGGGCTCAAAGCGCGCTCCGGACGCCCCCCAAGCCACCCACCCCCGCCCGGGACCGCGGAGCCCGGCCTTAGCCCCGCCTTCTCGCCCGCCCGGGGCTGGCTCCCCGCGGGCCGGGCTCCCGGCTCCTCCGGCTCCTCCGGCTCCAGGCTCCCAGCCTCGAGCGCGGCCAGCGCGCGCGTGCGGGTCTGTGTGTCTGCGCGCGTGTGTGTCCGTGGGTGGGAGATGAATTGGAATCATACGACTGGGTGTTTCCTTCCGAGTGGTTTTGATCAGCCATCCATTAGGAGATCATGGAAACTTTTTTTTTTTTTCTGACTAAAAGGATGAAAACTGAGTAAGTATAGAGAACTTTGAACTTGAAACGGAATGAAACAAATACAAGCCAAACCCTGCGGATGATAACCATGTCCATTCAGACCGTGTATTCCCTTTTTCTGTTAAAAGCCGTGAAGGCTTAGAGGAAAGTGGCAATTTAAAACGGAATGAAGGGAAACAGTTACGAAACATGAAAGACTGAAGGCAGGACTGCTTTAAAACCGGAGGAAAAATGAGGAACTGTTAAGGCGAGTTGGCCTGCGTCCAGCTGTGCAACAGGCACTTTGGTTTAAACCTATTGCGTTCTCCAGGGCTGTTTTTAGCCTCCAGATTTACTTTGGTGTTGTTTCTCTTTTCCTGTGAAGCTTTTACTGTGAGTTTAAGGATGTTGTGAAAAATAAGACATTACCAGAAGCAACAGTTTGGCAGCCTGGGGTACGCTCAGATTATTAGTTACAACTATTATTATTTTGATTATTATTATTTTTTTTTTTAAACCCAGGCCGGCCACTTTTTACTGTCCTCCATGGAACGGCTCTTACTAGCCGCCTCAGACTTTGGGGATCTATGATTCTTTGGCAGGACGTTTCGGAAAGTTTCTTAAGTGGAGATGGAGCTGTCTTGATGTGATTTAAAGTTGTGGAAAAAGAAGACAGTTTGGTCTTTTTCATGCTGACGAAAAATAGCTGCTGTGACTTTTCCGGCAACGTGGACAGGGGCCAAGTGAAGCTAAACTGGTCATGGTCTGTCGTCCAGTGTTTTGTCGTCGGCGGTTTTGCCCCCGGCCCTTCTTGGTGGGCCTGGTGGTGGCAATCTGTCTGTCCTACCAGACTCTGACACTCCGGGGGACAAAGAAACTTGCAGCTGCTGGCCCCGGAGCTACCCCAAACACACCCACCAAAACCCAAGCAAGCAGATGCACCGAAGGATTCTTCCCGGACAAGCAGTGCTTCCTTCTCTCTGACAATGGACAGGAAATCGGAAAGGTAAGGCTGGACACAAGCTTAACCTTGACATTTTCAGTGAAGATAGCAGCCTGCTTCTCTCTGTCCCTTCTGTAAGACTAAAATTAACTTCCATGAAGTCTGAAAAGGATCCAGAGTATACGCAGCTGAGAGAGTGACCTTATGACGGTGAGACGCATGCTAGCTTCAACTTCTTATTTTTACTTCCGGAGAGTCCTGGTCATTATTTTCTCTCTCAGAATTTCACTTCTTTTCAGCTAAATGAAATAGACCGCTTGGAGGGGATGGGAGTGATGGGAATTTTTTCTAAAAATTGGGGTTCTAAGAGATCTGAAGATTTACAGTTCAGGAACATAAATCAAAGATTCATAAAACTTGGCAAACATTGACTGTCTCTTTTCTCAAGGCAGTCTATATGAATGACCGGACCATTCTAGACTCCAAGCTACTCCAAAATTACATTTTCTAATTGGTTATGTCTATTAATCATTGCTGAGCATATTTCTATAGCAATATATTTATTTCTGAAGCATTTAAAAATAGTCTAATAGGTTTCTTCAAAAGAATTGACACAGTGCATTTTATTGCTTATAGAATTAGGAAAATACAGATTATTTTATATTTATACTATCCTAATTAACTTTACTAATCTTACTTGTCAAGTGTTGGATAAAATACAAGGCACAAGGAAATACACAGAGCTTTTCTTTTAATATACCACTCTGTGCCTGTTAGTGAAATGAAAACCTTTAAAACAAACATGCCTAAAACAGAAAAACACAGGCACAAATATTCATGATAACAAAATCACTGATTTCTATGCTACAGCAGGTAGTGTAGCAAGATAATTTAGGAATCTGTAAGAGCTAGCTTACATTTGTAGAGTTAGGTAGATTCTATGATCATGGTTATTGTTTGGAGCAGAATCTCTTGTCAAATATCAACTTACTGCTACCATCATTGCTACCACCATACCATCTTGATTTAAAACCTTTCACATTAAAAAGAATTTTGAAAATTAAAGAGAGAAAATATTGTTGACAAAAAATTAAAAAAAAACCTTTCACATATTTCAGATGTATAACCCTTTAAGATTGGTAATGTAGGTATGATGACACTCAAGGCAGTATTTAGGCAAGTATTATGACATGGTACATTCATCTAGTCCCTATTGCAGGACTGATTCTCTAAATAAAAGTAAATTCAAAGCTCTAATAACAATTTGTGAAACCACAACTGAAAGAACTAAATGAAACACAAAATAATATCAGATTTGAACAAAGAAAATTTGAAAACTTTTGAGTGACTTTATTTTATCATCAATGTCAAGAAATAGCTTAACCAAGATATATGACCAACAAAACAAATAATAAAACTAGGAACACATCTAGATGAAACTTCAATGGCAAGTGTGAATCAAATGCTAAATTCGCTAAAGTAATTGAAGAATTTGTGTTTTTTATTAATTTATATCATCATTAACATAACACATCAAATTCATGATGGGTATAAACTTTGACTTTGAAAGTCACTTCTTGTTTGTTTCCAATGAGTGTAATTTCTTTAAAAATACTTGAGATGGTTTTGCTCTTTAAGTACTTAAATTTTTGGCTAAGAATTTGGAAAAAAAAGCTTTTTATTCATTAACTCACAGCCTTTCTTACTCACTACTTGACTTTACAATGGACTCCTGCTGTTGCCTGTAACTTAGGCATATGTTAACTGTTATTTGTAAGCTGTCACAGAAAATTCCATTTTAGCTTTGGACCTTCTGCCACTTATAAACCATCTGAAACTTACTGGCTGCTGGTGTAAAACATTCAGTTTAGAATGTTCTTCACTAAAAATGCCTAACACATGATGCTTTTTTTTCCACAGTCTTAAATATTTTAACTGTAAGCAAGATTCTGAAATCACAGTTACAGTTCAGAAGCTCAATAGATATGAAAACTGAATTTCCAAACATTCGCTGTGTACCTCTATTTTCAACTTTACTTGGGCCAGCCATTGGTTTAGAGCCAGAAAGTATCGTATGGAGGTTAGTTGAATATAAATGAGTTCTCCTTGCAATGTATGTTCCAGAAAAGAATCAAATAATAATCCCTTTTTGAAGATTAAATATTCTATCATATAGCTAAAATGAAGAAAGAAATGTCTTTGGAGTCTTTACGTAGATCCTTCTCAAAAACAGCTACTTAAGAAGCTCATTAAAAAGATAACTGATGAAATGCTACCTAGATTTTCCCCCAAGACCTAAAATATAGCTTTTTAGGCATTAATAGAAGAAGCATTGTTTCTAGCTATAAATTTTGAGGTTTGTTATTTTATTGTCAAACCAAAATATTCATGTTACCAGGGCTTTCCTTTACTTGACTCCATCCATCTTTAGGTGATTATTAAAGTTACCTAAAACATCTGGTTTTGACCTAAGGTTCACAGATTCCAGAAAGTATTTGGAAGTATAAGATGTCTGCCAAACCCAAGCATTTTATGCAAAGAATTGTGTGTACATGCATGTGTGGTTGTCTTATGTGCGAGAAACTATGATCCTCTTCAGATGTTCAGACCTAAAGAAATACTGGGAATTAAGAAATGCTTAAGAAGCAGTACATTTAAACTTTAAAGTGCATTTAAACTGCCCCTTCAGGAAGTGTAAGTTGGGTCTGAGTTTATAAATCTGAAAAAGGAAAAAAAAATCTGAAAGAATCCACTTGAGAACATTTGCAAAAAGTGTTTCAATGAATGCTGTAGTGTCTGCAGGCATAAGCAGTCTAAAACCAAAGTATACTCACAGAGTACTTCTCGAATCATAGTTTTCATACTTTCATGAATAAGCAATAAGTATTTCCCAGTCGATTTGGTTGTAGTTGTATCTCAGAGAGAAACTTTTGTGCTTTATCTGCCAAGTAATAGAAGGTTCTGTAGTAGCAAATATTTAAAGGTGAGTGACTGTGCTCTTTACACCTTTCTAACTGGGATCTGGTTCAGTGTCTAAAACTGTTTTCAGTACAGATTGAGATCATGGTATATAGAATATGCCAACTTTCCATAGTGAGGAAATGCTCTTCTGGCCAAATTTTAATTCTTTTTTCCATTTAAGCTTCCAAAGAGCCTTGCTAAGCAGATGTACTTGTGTTATTTCTTCTGGGTTTTCTCTCAACATTCATTGCTTGTGCTATTTCTTAAAATTATTTCAATGTAATGTATAAACTGAAGACAGTTTCAGTTATCTTCACTAAAATAGGTCACTCAATGGATTTGTTTATTTTCCTAGAATCTAATACTTCAATATCTCATAACATAGGGAGCACATTAAGTTACAAACAGACACAATGGAAGAAAATCTCCTTGGTATCTGCTCCTTTAATGGAAACTTAGCTCTTTGGGGAATATATTTGTCTTCACCATGGCCATGTGTTTCTTATTATCTCTTGTTGATGCTACACAAGGAGACTGACTATTTCTCTGTTGTCTGACTCTTCATTCTCCATTTCTTCTTTATTCTTTCTGTGGCGACTGTTCCCTACAACTACTGTCCCAGTGTCCAACCATAAACCAATGTAAATGAATGTTTTCGCTGTAAATACTTTTTTGTTTAATCTGCTTGTGTTCTTCATAATACATAATATACTTAACATCTGAAAATTTCTAAAAATTATAGCCCAGAAACAGAGCCCATGGCAAACACTTAGATGCTAACATTTTATCGGTTGGTACAATCCCAGGGACACTAGAGAAGGGGAAATAAAGGAAGAAGGAGAGCAAACACAAATGGGTGAATTATTGGGAGATTTCCAGAGAGGCCATTTTAAACTATTACATCCCAGAACAGGCACTGGGGGAAAAAGGCAGGAAGGACAAGCAATTTATCTGTGTCTCTAGTTTTCTTTCTTCTGTCTTTCATTTGTTAGAATTGGTCCCATGCTACTTCTAAGTAGTGTTGCCTTGACTTCCCAGGTGGCCATGGGTTGGGTGGGTGGTCAGGGTTTCAGTGGGTGCAGTGCCACCAGGGAAAAATTGGAGTGGTCCCCTCCCTTTCAATCTGTGCTGTGCATAGACGTTTCCAGGTCTGTGATGGCCACAGTGGTGAAGTGTCCCACAGCTTTATGATCACAACAATGGCATGCGAAATGGCCACTGGAAGGGTACGTGAGGCAGAGTGATCTAGTGTCTGATCTGATATTTGTGCTAATTTTGCTTTTTGAAATCTACACAAAATTTCTAAATATGTACCCACTCTTGGGAAATGACATCTCTTTCTTTAAATGAGATGTTTGTAACTATTTCACTAAGAACTCTCCCCTCCCACTGGGGGGAAAGAAACCTTTCTCTTTCTCTTTACCTTTTCTCCTTCTCATCCCTTTCATTCGTTCATTCACTTATTCATTCATTTAGTAAATATTTGTCGAGCAGTTTATATGTGCCAGACACTGTGCTGGTGATACAGAAATATTGGGTTGATCAATAAGTTCATTTGGGTCTTCCCATAAGATGTAATGGAAAAACCCAAATGAACTAATAAAAGGCACTGTGAGACAGACAAGTAAATAAATAGAATGTCAGGAAACCCATAACTTCAAGACAATATTTTGAAAGATGAGAGGGAACTATAAAGGGTAGAGAAAGAAAAGAGAAAACACTGCATGTGCAAAGAAAAAATTAGCCTCTGTGTGTGTGTGTGTGTGTAATGTGTTAAGGGAAGCAGAGCAAGAAGGCAAATTGATGAGGTAGAAAGTTCAGCAGGGTCTAGATGTCTAGCTGTTGGAAATGAGAGTATGATACGTAAGCTATATTCTCTCTGGAAGGTAACAGGGAACCCCCAAAGAATGAAAAGCAAAATGTGGCATGATTAGATTTATGTTTAGAGAGATTACTCCAGAATGCACACTGCAGAATGGACTGGAGGGACTGAACTGAAGGCAGGCAGACCAACTGGGACGCTGCCTCAGAGATGAGAGTCATACAGTTGCAAGCCAAGGCACCCCAAAGATTGCCAACAAACCACCAGATGTGTGGAAGAG